ACATAATTATATCGTAACACATGAAAAAAATAACAGAAAGAAATTTTTTCATGATCATATGAGTTTGCCGGATAATGAGTCAATAAAAAGACAAGATCAGCGTAAACGCCAAAATAAAATGGAAAAAAGAAAATGTAAGGAGATTTTCCTAATATTGTGTTGGTACATAAACCGGGATTATGTAATAGATGCAATAGAGAAAAATTATTGCCAAGATTTCAGCCGACAATGATATGAATCCCGATATATAGAAAAGACTGCAAAATTAAAATTTATTTTTAGGAGAAATTCCTATAGGTCTTACATTCGTATCGTATAAGCGCGAAATAACGCCCAGGAGCGTATTTTGATTAATGGCCCGAATTAAGCTTAATTTAGGCCAAAATTACACCCTGCGCGTTATTTCGCGCTTATACGATAGCTATATCAAGAGTCCGTGCTCTTTCTGATCTTCTTTTCAATAGTACATTTTTCTATAATAGATTAAAAAATACACATTTATAGCAAAGAGTGGCTGAAGAACAGAGATTATTTTCTTTGAAATTATTAAATTAGAAGTTATGTCTTTCACACATGCATTAATAAAATTTAAAATAGAGATTATACCCGGATAAGGATTACCCGGGTGACACTCTTAACCGGATGGAAATTTTGCTAACCGGTTAACTCGGAAAACAAAATGCTTTAACAGATTGGTTGGTTACAGGTCCCGTTGTCAGTGATCTGATTGGCTGATTTCATAGATTAAATTTGAGAACCTTTGGAATAGCAAAATTTTGGCCAATTATCCAAAATTGGCTCGAATTATGAAATTTAATTCTTATCAGTTATCGTTGTAGTTTAATCAAAATTTTTACATTTTCCAAAAAAAATCAACATCATTATTATTATTATAATCGGGTCAACCGGTTACTCGGGTCATTTGAGATAAACCAGGTTGTTACCCGTTTTGAATATGTAATACGGTCAGTTATCGGAGAAGAAATTTATACGGCCTAATCTCTAATTTAAAATCAACGTTATACGTTACTCAGTGATAAAATTTTATTTCAAATTTAAGAGTCCAAGAAGTAAAGCTCTAGCTCTATGAAACATCGCCGGTTTATCATTAGTTATTAGAACCAAAATTGCTTGTTTAATGAAATATTTGTCGCGGCTGATACTGAAATTGGCTGATGCTGAAATTAGTGGCTCGATTCAAAAATATGAACCCTGCTAAAATTCACCTATACTCTTTAAATAACAAATCTAACCCTAAACCCTAACCTAAGCCTAAAAAAAAAAGCGGAAAAAACATTCCCAAAAAAATTTAAAATTTCATATAAGAATAATTCCAAATTTCAGCATCAGCCGCGACATATATCTATCACCTTGGATCGAAATTTTGTATTCTCTTATTGTGCTTTATACGTATAAATATATATATACTTACTAATGTGACTATAATGTCTCTATTTTGATTTATTTATAAAGCCTTAATATTTGTTAGCATATCAAATAAACCTAATTATATAATTGCTATTTTTATTTACTTTCAGCTCACCGCATTAGTGTAACGCTTTTATCTTGACTGATTAATAATTCAGCAATGGAATACTAAAATTGGATCAAGTTTATTTTTAAATTAAACCAGTGAAAATCAATTTAATTAAGTAAAAACCCGACAGGGTATGTAGCAACATTTTGAGATTACCTCTCAAAATACCTTACCACATTAGTCGAATGATACAGTGAATCGTAACCTTAAAACATTTCTTGTGTAAAAACATAGTCAAAAACTAGGCGACAATGTAACCAATAAAATATCTTGTTGCACGTACATCATTCGGAATATTGGCCATTAAATCCGTATTAAACTAAGTTTGGTAACAGTTTATAAGAATTATTTCTTAACGTCGAGAGTGCCGTTTACAAGTCTTGAGATGAAGAAATATATCATTTTATCATGGTTCCTTTTCTTAATAACGTTTTTAGATAGTGTATACGCTTTAACTTTATGCAATACCTTGGTTTTCAATGTCTCGCAGTATGCATTTGGAAATTATTTATCATTTACCTGTGGTCTACTATTAGCTTTCTTTGCAAGACCCCCCTCCGATGATAAAGGATTAATCTCTCGAATTAAAAAACTCGCGAATAAAACTGCTGTAATACAGTTAATGTTATTAATGGCTTTTATAACTTATATGACGATTAATTTTTTTCCTTTAAACGATGATGAAGTTCCTATATTACTTCATTTTGCTTCTCTTGTAATGTATTCTTTATGCGGAGCGCTTATTTTGACACAGGCTATATGTAATAGAAATTGGCGTCATGGTATTCGAACTTTATTTCTTATTCCACTTTATATTAATCAAATGCTTTTTCAAGTCTATATGCTCCTAAAATTTCCATCCAATGGATATATGCTTATTTTTCAATGGGTCAGTTTACTTTCTATACTTTTTGCCATCCCATTATATTTCATTCTCGCAATTTTTTGGGGACTTAAAAATAATGAGAGAAAGTTTTTATATGTAGTTTTATATCCTTTCGTATTTCAAATTTATTTACATGTAGGATATTTATGTTTTTATTTATATTGTGATGAAGGTTATTTATCATCTATATTATTGTTCCTTAGCAGTTTTGCTTTATTTAATGTTCTTCATAGTGCTTACAACTTAATTTTCCCTAAATCTGAACTTCCTGAATTTCCTGAAGATAACGATAAGAGTAATGGTGTATGAAGACGATATATCTTTTTTAAAGTAACATAAATTTTACTGTAAATAGAGATTTTGAGACTAAATCTTTAACTAAAAAGTAAATTTTTTATCAACAATATACCTTATTATTAATTGGTAAATTGTATAATTTGTATAATAAATAAAATTACCAATAAAATGTATTATTATTTTACTAGTTCAAAGTATTTTAATTCGATGCAATTATATTTATAATTAAATTATTCACTCAGTCTCTAATAATCTAATTTACAGAAATGACACATGACTTGAATGTGACTTTCAAGTAACGGTAAGAAACATTATAGGGAAAGTCTTCGGACACTTACCATTCACGTGAATTTCACTTACCAAATTATTCGGATACATATACGTAAATGATAAGTGTCCGAAGACTCTCTCAACATTATAACTTTGAAGACGATGCGTTTAAAACTAAGTTATTCATTTTGCTTACTAATTTACTAATAAAGAGTATTTTTCAACTTTATATTTAAAATTCTTAATCTAAAAATTTAAAATTTATAAAATTTTATCGTTATGAACTATGTTACCATTAGTAATGAGACTACAAATGCTAAAAATCAACTGTCACGTGCCGTGATCTATTATAAAAAATTTGATTCTTCATAAATTATTGAATGCGACAATTAAGTTTCACTTACCATCTTATTTAAAGAATTATTTAAAGAAATTTCGATAATATTTTCTGTAGAAAAAAACTTAGGGTCCTTTATTATAATAATAATATTATTATTAATAATATTAATATTAATCATAATGTAAATAAAGATAATTTCAGACTTGCTACGAATTGGAATAATTGAGCCAAACTGTACTGTATTAGTAATAATAATATCCTGATCCGTTGGGTATTAGCGGGGCTGAAAGTCCCGCTAATTCACATACGGTCAGGGTATTATAAACATTATCATTTGCTAATCTATGTCAGTGATTTTTTAATACTTCTACTCTGATCTGCCTGCGAACAAGCGGAAACTTCGCTTCCTCCAATATCCAACGGCTCGGAAAATTTTATTACTGAAACCTCTGAAAATAAGAACTTACGGTGAATAAGCAAATCTATAATAAAATTTTTATGTTCTATAGTCAGAATTTAATTAAAAAAAAGTGTGCTTATTTGGCGAGTTTTACGGTACAAACATTTAAAACAACTATCTAGCAGTTTATAATTTCTACAGTAACATAATGTAAACAATAAAATAGAACGCTTTATACAACTCATTTTCCGTAATATAAACACCCTTTTGACTAGTTTTATTAATATAATTTCATAATTTACAAACCAAGAAATAAAAAATATTCAATATTATATATTTTTTATACAATTAAACAAGGTAATTCATTTAACACAGTTTCATGTAATCTTCAGCAATTAATCGACTTGCTCTCCAAGCAACCATAGCTGTAGGTGCATTAGTGTTTCCGCTTGGAATAAATGGAAATATCGAAGCATCAACAGCTCGAAGATTTTTCGTACCATAAACTTGAAGTCGATGATTAACTACTCCATCTTTAGATTCCGGTGCCATTTTTACTGTTCCACATGGATGGAACGATGTTGTCTAAGCAAATAGGATAGAAATGATAATAAGAACTTTTTTTATAAAAATACATTTGTCTATAATATAAAAAATATTTTACTGTAAGTACATGCCTTTTTTATAATAAGCTTTTCCCAGTCTTCATCACTCATATCATCTCCGTTAGTACACCATTGTCCAAATTCATCGTTAATTCCAATTTCTTTAACATTATAAGTAGTACTTAGTGGAGGTTGTTTAAGTATTTCACGACATAATTTAAGTGAACTTATTATTCTATATAAATCATCTGATTTTTCAAAGTAATTTAAATGAATCTTTGGTTTATCAAATGGATTATTGCTGTTAAGTTCCAGATAACCAACGCTTGATGGTATATTAAGAATTGGCATTATAAGAATCCCATCGAATTTAGAATTTTTATTATAAATCTCTATTGATGGATCCACAATACCTTCTTGGTACGGGGCCGCTATTTACATAATAAAATATAAAATCAATTACTGTAATAAACATAATTATAAAGATTCATATTTTAACAAAATCATACCAATAATCTGAATATCAGGATTTTCGTCAAAGAAGTCATCTTTGCAAGGAATCTTCCCTTCAACATTAGCTTTATGTATTATTCCAATTTCACATCCATTACTCCAATGTTTAATTGCATTTGGAGTTGATTTAGCGAAGATACAACAACCCGGATGGTCTAATAAATTTCTTCCAACTGGTAATTCTTTACGGACCTTTATATTATTTGATTCAAGATTTTCTTTTGGACCAATACCAGAGAGCATTAAGATCTTGAAAAAAAATAAAAATAAAAATTAGGAAGGGTTTATGATATAATAACATATCATTATAATGGTTATAATGGTTAATGATTATTATATTCTTCTTACTTGAGGGCTATTAATAGCACCACCACAAAGAATGACCTCTCCTTTCGGAGCAATGAAAGCCTCACGCACGGTACCATTACAAAAATATTTTACGCCGATTGCAATATTCTCTTCTTTATTTTCCTCATCCCAAATAATATTTAATACATGAGCAAATGATCTAACATCTACCGCTGCAACCTTTCCGAAACTACCACATTTCGAATCTTGATGTAATTCGACTTTTTTTAATGCATCTTTTAAATAACTCTCAGCCAAAGAGCATCTTCTCCCATCCTTGATTGTAAACTAGAATTTATAACCAACATATTAAATAAATTTAATGCAAATTTTGAGAAAGTTTTATTAATATTAAATACCTGGTATGTTCCAACACCATTTTGTCTTTCTCCATTAAAATCATCATTATAAGGGATACCAAGATTTTTTGCTGCATCAATCAAACCAGACATAACATCATAAATTCCATTATAGCTATCTTGTACATGAAGTAAACCATCGAACCCATGGAATTTTTTAAACTTTTCATCAGGGTTCTTTCGTGAATTATTTTCTACTGCTTTAAATGCTTTTTAAGAAATATATATAAATGTTCTGAGTGAATCAAATGATTCGAATTAAAATGAAAAATAATAAAAGTCATACCTTCTAGACAATGATCCCAATCCCAAATATTGTATTCGGGATCTTGGGCTGCCCAATCATTGTACTCTTTTGCTTGGCCTCGCCTAAAAAATAAAATTAAAGATATAACTTTAAAAAAGAAACATAAAAAATAAATACAAGAAATTTGTAAACTCGTGAGACTTGCATGTAAATCATTGCATTCAAAGAACTAGACCCTCCCCAAACCTTTCCGCGTACATAAGGAAGTCCTTCTTTTACCACTTCTTTAGTAGGATCTACAAGGCTTGGAATTCTTTGTTCCTGGGTAACATATCCCCAGTCATTGTCATTCATTTGGAAAGTCTATATTACAAATAGAATGAGCAAACCAATTAATGTGATGACTGCCGCATAATTCAACAAATGACTTTAACCAAGTCACCTTCAAAAAAGCCAGTTTAAAAAAAGCACATGGCAAACTAATTAAACTGTTAGAATGGGCATCAGGACCTCCAGCTTCTAATACTAGGATGTTAATATTTGGAATGCAATTAATTAATTCTCTAGCAAGCACGCATCCTGCAGTACCAGCTCCCACAATAATAAAATCATAAATTTCTTTAGTTTTAAATTTTGCATATTTATCATTATCGCAAACATTTTTAATCCAACATTCACGAATTTTAGCATCATTCATTAAATCCTCTTGGTTTTTCTCAACTATACTCATATCTTGACTCATTTATTTCTTTTTGTGTTATGATCAATAAAGATCGTACTATAACAAACAGTGAACATTATTTATTTATATGGAAGTTCCTATAGAACGCCAATGTGATTTTTTGAAAGCAGGAATTTCTTTCATTTAGTACTGTATCGTGATTATTGCATGCATACGTATTAACACAAACTCTAAAAAACGCACGTACGTACGTACATACAGGAAAATTCTTGTACGTAGTGATGGGACCTTCCGCATTATTAATAATTAATAATAATGCATAGCACAGCTATCTAGTATTAGTACCACTCATTAAAGTTAATGTTAGCTGAATTCTGATTAATTTTTGCCGGGGATTTGGTTGTCAGGATGGTTTGTCGGGATTTTGACCCAAACAATATGCAGTTATTAAAATGCTTGCATACCAATTTTTAACAATTACTAAAATTATTAACTATTACTAACTATATATATTACGTATTAACCGATTAATAATTGGTTTATTATTAACTTACAACTCGATAGTCCCATCACTACTTGTACATACGTACATTACTGCTATTTTCATAATTTCTGGAACACCTGATAAAAGTTGACTGAGGGCGTTCTCAAGCACCTACCTCAATGAATTCAATAAAAAATCTGATTGGTTAGTTTGATCAAACAAACCAATTAGATTTTTTACTGAATTCATTGAGGTAGGTGTGCGGGCCGATTTGCGATTTTGGCAATAATTAAAATCGATAATCTATGTAATGTAAGATCAAGTGACGAATACTGTATCTCTGATGAATGCGGGAATACAGAAAAACGATGCTTTCAATGGAAAATAATTGAAAAAATTTTAGAAGGTTTATCATTTGAAAAACTGCCAAACATTTAGGTGTAGCATATCTTCTATAAGTCAGGTTCTTAAGTAGGTTTAGCTTAGAAAAACTAACATGATCGATGTAAAACATATTAAAACTATTATATTGAGAGAAAATCCTGACCGGTATTTGTATGAATTACAATCCGAAATGAAACTTTGAAGGCTATACACCGACTTTGGATTTATATATAAAAAAAGTAATATTTCGTTATTTATACTGTATACATTAGAGGTCCAATCCGGATAAATCTGTCATCCATTTATCCATATCTGAATTTATCCGGATATCCATTTACTATTGGTATCCGGATTATCCGACATATATTCGGCTAATTATCCGGATATCAATGGTAAAACGGATATCCGAATAAATTCAGATCTGGATATCTAATAGATAAATGGATAAACGGATAATGGATAGGAACTGTAGTATACGCATAAAATTTTTACTTTGATTTTGTTTATCATAATTCTTCATGTACTGCATTTTCATAAAATTTTGATCATTTGGAACCTTAACCCGAAATTTATTTTTAAATAAGTCAACAAAATTCATGATCATATTTGATTTTTTTAATATTGGTACTATTGTAATATATTTGTTATAAAGTTCAATCTAGGGATGTTAAGTGGTGCGTCTGGTTCGGTCCCGGTCCGTTCCCCAAAAGTCTGGTCCAGGACTAGTTGAAAACGAGTTCACCCCTGTTAAAAAATAGATAAAAACCGGTCCTACTCTAGTGGTTTAAATGTACAGAATTGTGATTGTATTGAGTATTATAATTGCATTTGGATCGACATAAAATTGGCCAATTAAACGACCTTGAGATCACAAGATTATAGGACTAGTTTTGAACTAGTCCCTAAAAAGTTCGGGATTGGACCTGGCCCAAACTAGTTCCCCGTGGACCACTTAACATCCCTAGCTCAATCTATACCTGATATTTCTTGCTAAAGTTTATTGGTTGACAAATGCAGTTTTATCCATAAATTTTCGTACAGACTAGACACGCCATAAGGGGGGGGGGGGTATTATGACGCAGGTGGGTATTGTGACGCACTCATGTTTTTTGATGATATCACATGATACACTGATCAGAATTGAGTAATTTTGGTATCATTCGATTCCTCTTACTGAGACGAATTGAATGATATTAAATTCATTTTATTTGAATCGCTAGTATTCGAGTAACCACCAAGAAACATAAAATTACTAATATTTTTGACACCAACCCATAAGAATCTGATACGACCCTGACTAATCAAGTTCGTATGTACATATCGGTGCAATTATTAATCAAATTTTAATACATATAAACTATACTAAATAAAGTAATGAATTAATTCCTTGTCAAAAGTTGGATATCAAGAAGACAAATATTCTGCTATACACACTAAGCTCCTCATTCCCACGTAAATAATAACAGTCTTCGTAAAATTTTTTAAAACTAGAATTAAATTCTTCTATTGTAAAAAATAATTCAACAAATTTACACATTTCAAAACCCTTAATTTTAAATTGATATTTATTTTCTTGATCAAAAACATCACCCACGGCTTTGCCAAATCTTTTATCTATTAATAGAAGATAGTCCATCCTTGCTAGATCTTCAAAATAATAAACAACTTCTCCAAAAAAAATAATAAAGTCTTTAATTCAAATATATTCCCTAATGTGAGCACGATAATTGTCAATTGAATTAATGATTGTATCTGTAACGATGAGTTTCAGAAAATATTGTACAATTCTTTTTAATCAGTTATAAAGAAACAGAAGCACATAGTGCATCCGTTCTTTAAATTCAGCTGTGTTATAGGTGTTTTTCATCAAATAGTTGCAAAGGTTTAAAATTAAATTGCTTAAATTTTCACTTTGCAAATCAAAATAATATAATATGTTCAATGTTTCAATTTTTTTTATATTGAAATAAGCATCGTATAAAACTTATTTTATTTATATTTAAGAAATACCTTTGTTTGATTACAAATTTAGTTAAAATAAATTATTAACTACAAGCTCTTATTTTATTAATATTCAAGAATACCTTTGTTTATTTACAAATTTAGTTAAAATAATTTATTAACTCAGGCTAAGTTAGATTAAATTTTACAATCATCTAGCTTTATTTGTTAATACTTCATTTATTTGCATAAAATCTTGACCACAATCGTAATTGTATACAATCATGACCCAAATTATAATTGTATACAAATACGGTTACGATCATGATTGCATACAAATATGATTACGATCGTAATTGCATACAAATATGATCATGATTGTGATTGCATACAAAATATGGTCATGATTGTAATTATGATCACAATTGTAATTACATACAAACACGACCATAGTCATGATTGCATACAATTATGATCATAATCATGATTACATACAAACATGATCGTGATTATAAATAATAAACTATTAACCTATAAGAATGTTAAAATATAAATTGCTGTAATTTCATGATTAAAAAAAAATAAATAAAAAAATAAAAAAATAAAAATAAAACAAATATCAAAAACAAACTGCAACAAAAAATCCAATTCTCCAAAAATCGTAACCAAAAATCCTATCAATAAATTAAAAAATACAAAAGTTACATATGAAAATACTATAAAATCAGCTCTTAAAGTACTTAATGACCCCAACCTACCTAGTATATGATTAACTGCATCAAAATTTGGTCTTGCAGAGACAACTTTAAAATATGCATTTAAAAAAAATAGTATATCTAACAATTCCGTCCCAGCAACAGTTTTGAGTAGCTACGAAGAAGAACAATTGGTGGGTTATTGTATGAATATGCAAAAACTAGGATTTGGTCTTACAAGATCTGGGTAAACTATTGTGTAATGAATATTGTAAATAGCAATAGCCGTAATCACTCTTTTAAAGAAAGTGGACCTGGTAGAGCTTGGTGAAAACATTTTATGAAAGATTATCCTGAATTATCTTTTCGAGTGCCTCAAGCCTTGTCAGAGACACATGTACAAAAATCTAATCCAACTATCATTAAAGATCATTTTGATAACAAAATAAAATAATTCAAGATAATTCACTTACCCCAGATTGTATCTGGAATTTGGATGAAACCGGCTTCGTTATAGCTCCCAAGGTTCAAAAAGTTATTGCTGCCAAAGGCTCCTGCCAAATTTATAAGGTTGCTTATAGTAACTTGCACAATCATATTTCTGTTGCACCAATGATTTCAGCCTCTGGCAATTACATCCCTCCATTGATTATATACAAAGGTGTTCGTGCAATTCCTGGTTTGTTAAATAGTGCACTATCCGGCATCATTATGGGTTTTACCGACTCGGGATATATGCATGAAGAACTTTTTCAAATATATATTAAGCACTTTATAAGCTCTATTCCTTCTCGTCATCTTGTTCTTTTAATGCTTGATGGTCACAGCAGTCACATAAATTATATGAGCATTAATTATTGTTATAAAAATGGAATTTTACTATATGCGCTTCTACCACACACAACACATATTCTTTAACCATCCGAATTTCCTTTTGCAAAACCAAAAACTGAATATAGTAAAAATTGTGATAAGCTTCATCATGAAACTGGTGAGTTGGTGACTAAGTATATATTTGCTAAAATGCTTGGTAACGCATTTATTAAGACTTACACCTCTGCAACGATAGCTAATTCTTTTAGAGCTACAGGAATTTGGCCCTTTAATCCTAATGCTATTAGCTCCATCATCTCGATCCCTCTTTATTTACCGAACAAATTGATACCTTACCTTCATTCTCTCAACAAAATGATTATTCTTTTATACTATCTTCTTCAATATCATCTTCTTTACTGTCTTCTTCAACATCATCCTCTTTATCATCTTCTTCAACATCGTCTTCTTCAACACCATCTTCTTCAACACTATCTTCTTCTTCACTATTTTCTTCTTCATTGTCATCTTTTTCTTCATCATTCTCTTCATTGTCTTCTTCTTTACTATCTTCTTCAAGTCATTTTAAACATGCTAGTATTACTGGGAAGATCGAATTATTAGAAACAGAAATCCTTGCTCTAAGAAAAGAAAATATGCTACTAAAAGAAGAACTTGAAACGTTTAAATATCCCAGTATCTGCATATTAAAACAAGCCCTTAAGTATCCTACTTCTCGAGTT